CTCTAAGGTGGGGTGGGGGGGGGGGTGTGGGTGGGGGTGTGGGTGGGGGGGGGTCGGTGTGTGGGTGCAGGTGTGGGTGTGGGTGGGTCGGTGTGTGGGTGCGGGTGTGGGTGTGGGTGTCATATGGATGTAGATGTGGATGTGGATGAGTGTATGGTGTGATTTTGAGTGAAGAGAAGACTCACACCCACAACCAAATAAGGGGTCAAGTATTGAAATAAGAGAATGAAACATCGTATGAAATCTTTTCTTAAGCTAGCGAAAAATGGCTTTATACGAAACCTGGAGCACAAAACCTTTTTTAGGCGAACGAAAAATTAATGGTGTACGAAACATTTTTCTCACGAAACCTAAAAAGGGTTTCGAATTCGTTGCAAAGTGCGAAACCCTTTTTTGGTTTCGTATAAAATCGTTTTTGTTTTCAGTGCACACCCCACACATGCACACACGCACCGACATTCACTCCCATGCATACTCACATGCACCGACACTCACCTCCACACGCACCGACACTCACCCCCACGCACACCCACACGCACTGGCACTCACCCTCACACACATCCACACGTACCGACACCCGTTCACACCCACCCCCGACACCCACGCCGACCCAGACTCACCCACACCCACACCCCATCTTAGAGGAACAACGATATGTAAATAAGGTACCTTTTTCTCAATCGTTAGATTCATAAACCAGGTCTAAATAAACTAAAGGAAACGGAATAAAGCAGCTGAGAACTCATACGGTAATTGTTAGAAGGTTTCTAGATTAATCTCGGTCAGGAATACATCAAAAAATATAAATTTAAGGAGAACTAACTTCTCAGAAAATTGCAAAAAGAATACGATTTGAAATAAGCAGATGTTGTTGCTCGTTGTTACTGTTGTTTTATGTATGTGATTATGTCTCTCATTGATAGAGAAGTTTATCTTCAATGCTTAGCCGATATTGATGTTGTTTTGAAATAATAGTTGAATTTCGGCTTCAGACTGACGAGTCGCCTCATGAAACCGATTGAGTGCGCCTTTTGCATCAAGAGCAATATTTCTCTGGATTTGGTCGATATGTGTCACACCGTCGGTCAATTCTTCCATCATTAACACTTCTGTCAGACTACTAGCTGCCTATACAATAATGAAAAGAACCAAAACATTTTAGTAACATTAATAGAAAAAACTCACACTTGGTATGCCTGTATTAATAACATCAAATATGCACAGTTTGTGTAATGTATTGATCATACTGTAATAATTGCTATTAGTCTGACTAGGTAATAATTGTTGTTTAGATAAATAGCCATTCAAATATATGTTACAGATACTGCCAGCTTGTTGCTCTGTAAACGTTCTTATTGGTGGTGAAGGCGGCTCATCAAAGATCCGTCCATCTCCATCACATTTTTCACCTGAACAAAGGCCTGTTGATAGATTTACCAGCCATTGTGGTTGAAAGACTTCTATGTTCATGTGAGACGGATTTACTGATAACTAAATAAATATTCATGAAGTACCTTCTTTATATGAAAATAAGTTATGTTTAATATATTGTCTCTTTCTCGAAAATTGACGCGACAAGTAAATATGAGAAACTTCAAAGAGTCTCGAGAAATATAGTTTTTAGGCAGATTTAGAAGGGAACTATGTCGTTTTTGAGTACTATTAAGAAAGTATTTAAAGACGTGGCAGCATTACAGCCGGTCTCTATCTATCCATTGTTCAGTAATACATGTACCTTCTAGAACTTTTAATGCACTCTACTGGGACATATGACATGCTATTGCGTAATGTTCTTGCGCAATGTTCATACTATATATACCGGTGTTTCCTGTTTGTCACTGTCTTTTTCGCAATCAGTCACTCAGCGTTCGCTTGTGAATAAACCAGTTATTCTGAATCTTGTTTCCTTTCTGCTCAACATCGAACTCGGCCTGAAGACGTGACAGAGTAGATGAGTTAGCTTTCTTGTTTCTTTATGCTTTATATACCATTTTGTAGCTCGTGAAATTCTCTATCGAATAGTATATAATAATTGGGGTTTCATTTGACTATGAAAGGAAAATTTTTCTACGAAAAAAGAAAATGGTCGATCTTCTGATAGGGAAGCATGGGGAAAATGACTATTTTTACAATAACTCAGCAATGGATCGTCCAATCATTCTCATCTTCGAACTCGAGCGAGACATTGATGAAATTAAACTGTGTAGAAAATTTCATCGTAATCGGAATATCCTTTCAAAATTTATTGTGTAAACGGCCGGACACATTAACCGATTCTAGAGTGTACGCACTTTTTGAGTACACAAAAAGTAGAAAGAAATGTTCATTGGAAAGTTTTCTCTCTCTTTGCAGAATATAATTTTTCTTTCTGGGAAGAAATGTGGGACCTTGATAATATTGCTGTTGTTTACATTGATTTTAGCAGATTCCTGTTTCTTCTATCTGTTCGATGTACAATGGTTTTTTACTGTAGAAAAATATCGACCATCCATTCCTGTAGAACTCAGATCATTTTTATCCTATATACGTGCTCTTTCCTTTTTGCCAAATGGGAACAAAAAACATTGAACTAAAGAATATGTTATATTCCTGGAGAAGAGTTGCCAAAAGTGAACTTAAGAGCTTTTTTTCTTCTCAATTTTCTTCAACACTAAATCTTCGTAATACTTCTTCACCTGTAACTGTCTTGTTTTGATCCAAATGCAAAAGATGTCTAAAACCTTCGTCCTCTACTGTGCATGCTTTTATTGCACTATCAGGACATATTATTAAAGATACTAAAGAAATGTGGGAAGTCGCTGCTGATTTTTATGAAAATTTTAAAAAAAAATCTAATATAGTGAAACCTCATCCATACACTGATTCTCCATCTATTGAATATGACAATATTGATGAACCGATTCCTGAAGTAGCATTTGATGAGTTAGCATTTACAGTGCAGGCAAAACGTAAAAAGAAATCTTTGGATGCTCATGGCATATCTAACTTCATGTTTTGTGAAACACGACCTGAAAGGAGTGTTGAAGTGTTTATGGTAGAAATTTGGACCCAACCCCCTCCCCTCCCACAGGCTGTTACAGACAGACGCTGCCACCGTCACAGATCGCTACAGACATCTTAATTAACTAATTAATTAATAGTTAATTAGTTAGCATTTAATTAACTAATTAACCGTCACAGACAGGCTTTGCACCCATCACAGACCGTGACAGACAGAGTCTCGGCCCATCAGGGTGTGGATGTGGGTGTGGATGGGTGTGTGGTGTGATTTTGAGTGAAGAGAAGACTCACACCCACACCCACACCCAAACCCACCACTCAGATCCGCCACCCATACCCACCCCATTTAATTAGTAACAACAGATCCATCGTGTTCCACATTTTTAATCCGCCAAGGGATTGCGCTAACAGCTTTTATTTTCTTGATCAATGTCATTGATCTTTATTTCTTAAACTATTTAATCACTCTTTCCAAACGGCTACTCTGTCTAAGGCATGGAAAGATACCAGAATGGTTTTATTAGCTAAAAAAGAGTCTATCTGCTCTCCCTCATTAACTCGTTCTATTTCTCTTATTGACTCTTTTCTTAAAGTTGGTGAAAGGTTATTTCTTTCTAGATTTCGTGATGTTTTATCTAGAAGAGGTTTATTGCCCGATAATCAGTTGGATTTCATAGATAGTCTTCGTCTCCAAACTCGTTTATTGTTATTTCTGGAGGATATATATAGTTTTGTGGCGAATAGTGCCCCTGTTTGTATCATCTTTATAGATTTTCGTTCTGTTGTTGATCAATTATGGCATGAGAGTTGTGTGGGCAAGCTAAAGGGATTAGGTATTCCTCTGTCTTATATAAGATGGATAGAAGCTTGGTTTCTTGATAGAGGATGCTTTATTGAGATAAATAGTAATAAATCCCGATGATTTTCAATTGGAAAAGGTGGTCCTTAAGGTAGTGTGTTAACTCCCACTTTATTCATTAGTTATTGTGATATGGGACAATTTCTTTCTGCATGTACTAGCTATTTTTTTTGCTGACGATGTCGCAGCTATACTTGGGCGACATTTAGGAGTACGATACACAAATTAATGTATTGATCTTGAAAAATGTATAAAATCTTTTCTTGATTCACTCGAATATTATTCCTGTTTAGCTGATCAGCCCTTAAATAGGATTAAAACTGAAGCTATGTTTAGTGCTCGAGCAATAGGGTCCCTGAACTTCAACATTACTTTTAATAGTGGTGATGATAAATGTATTAATTGGAAACAGGAGTACAAATATCTTGGTTATATCATCTTATCTAGACTTGGATGGGAGAAGTTATTAAAGGATACAGAATGTAAAGTTAGGAAGAGAATAGCACTTATTAAATCGTTTGAATTGTTTGGTTGTTCGTCTCCTAGTCTTTGTAAAGCTCTGTTCTATTCATATGTCCTTCCATTATTCATCTGGTTATATCCTGTATATCCGCTACTTATTCGAAAGCAACAGGAGGACCTCTCTAGGTCTTATTATTCCTCCCTTCGTCGTATTCTATGTTGCCTCGAATGGAATGAAATTTTTTTTTCATATATTTTTGATGAAATATCCTTGGAAGATCGTTGTTCCTTATAGTGGAAAAGTATCTTAGAGCTTTATCTAATTCTATTGATGGTAATCTAATTTTCAAAAAAGCTAACTGTGCTGAATTTAGGAAAAGTTAGTTAGATAAAGAGTTCTCCATCATGGCGTTGAGAAGATCAAAAAGATTCGTCCATTATAAATCAATTTTAGAAAAACTTTTAACTTGGCTTTCATTGGTCCCTCCCTCCAAACTCTTCTATACCACATTATGAAATGTCTGAAATAGAGCTACTTCAACTCTTTCCTGATTCTTTTTGTTAAAGCTGTGATCTATGTCTTCTTCTGTCCGTCGTAACTTTTCTTTAAATGTTGCTCATGTCCGGTTTGTTATGTATGTGTGTCCGTTCCTTTTTTCTTTTGTTTATTTTCTACTCTGTACTCTGTATTTATCTTGGTTGCAGTTTTCTCATTATTCTTTTTTTATTTCCTCTGCATTTTTAAATGTACAATCTTTCTTCATTTTTGTACCCCTGTGTATCCTTTATTTCACTTGTTTTCTCTCTATCTCTTTTCATCTCTGGTACTGTTAGGATCTTAGGATCGCAGTTATTGCATAATAAAAAAAATATTTCTGTTGAATTAATATTTATAAAAAAAATGAGTAAAATATTTTGTCAAATCACGTTGATACCAAATTATATCTTCAAAACACAGTGGATTTATGAGTTTTTATAGCCATTTGCTGTATAAATGAATTTTAGCTCTTCTTATTTGTTCTACATCTGTCGCAAAATTAGAAGAAATAGAAAAAGAATTCTAATTAGAGACACAGAGTGTATATCTAGTAGATTCAGAATTGATATGTCTGATGAGTATTTTATTAGTAGTATAAAGAACTTATATGAAATCTTTGGTCTTCAAAAATGTTATGTTCATCGATAGTTTTCAAAAGAGAAATTAAGTATAGAAAAAAAATAATGAAAAACAAACTTTCAATGTAATCCCTTAAAATTTAACAATTAAGGGAGCGCTTCAAAATATATTCCGGTCGGTCGGTCGTCGTTCCTTCATTCCTTTATTCCACCGTTCCGCTATTCCACTATTTCTATATTCCTTCCCCATTCCAC